CAAATCTGACATCAGGAATTATAACATTCAAAAACCAGTAGGAGAACACTTTAACCTGTCTGGTCATTCAATGACAGACCTGCGGGTGGTAACAGAAAAGCTTCAAAAACAGACTCCAACGAGAAACTGCTGAGTTGGAATTGATATGCAAACTAGATACAATCAATTTAGGCTTGAATAGAGACTGGGAATGGCTGAGCCATTACAAACATTGAATCTATCTCCCCATGTAAGTATTCTCACACTTCTTATCAAACTGTCTGTACTGGGCTATCTTGATTATCACTTCAAAAGTTTTTTTTCTCTTACTTAATTGGCCTCTCAGAGTTGGTAAGACAACTCCCACCTTTTCATGCTCTCTGTATGTGTATATATATCTCCTCAATATATGTTCCATTCTATGCATCCAAAGAAGTGGGTTTTAGCCCATGAAAGCTTATGCTCAAATAAATTTGTTAGTCTCTAAGGTGCCACAAGTACTCCTGTTCTTTTTACGGATACAGACTAACATGGCTGTGTGACAGAGCAGGGAGCGGAGCAGGGAGTGGGGCAGATTTGACCTGGGAATGTTGCAGGGGGGTTGCATTGGGGATGGGGGACTTCCCTTGAAGGAAGCTACCTGAGCTGTAACCTGAGCCAGGAAGGGAGTTGGGAGAAGTGACACCTTCTGGCCGGGAGCCTGGACAAAGGAGAGGAGGAGCAGAGGGGAGGGGGTGAGAAAGCTGCTGGAGGAGTTTTGGTTTGGTTTCAGTTTGGGCTGGGTGGTGCAACGCAGGGAACCCCAAGCTGGGGTCTAAGCTCCCTAAACCCCCCAGAAGGACTTGATTGAGGGGTTCTGGTTGTACCTACACACTCTGCTTGGGACTATGTTCCTGTCATCTAATAAACCTTCTGTTTTACTGGCTGGCTGAGAGTCACGGTGAATCCCAGGAAGAGGGGTGCAGGACCTTGACTCCCCCACACTCCGTGACAGGCTGCTACTCTGAAACCTTAGAATCAGAGAATCTCAGGGTTGGAAGGGACCTCAGGAGGTATCTAGTGCAACCCTCTGCTCAAAGCAGGACCAACCCCAACTTCCGCTACATTCCCCTGGAGGGGGCCCGGCCCTGCCATGGGGAGAGGTTTGGTAATAACTGGGCCTATCAATTTAACCTCATTGCAGCTCAGCTGTAGAAAGGGAGTGAAAGTTCCCAAGAGGGCACAATAATCTGTAACACATGTTGATGGGAAAAGGGAGACAAGGGCTGAATTAGTCGGTTGGTGGAACTCCAGGGCTGTGTTCCAATCATGCCTGGTGGTGTGCTGGGAAGGAGACCAAGCTGGTGACCACCATAGTGAGGGGATGGGCTAGTCCGCCCACCCCTCCCTTCTGGAGCTCTTCAAAGAAAAGGAAGACTTGGGGGCGGGAGGGGATTAGCCCAAGGAACTGTCTGCCGACACCCACTGCAGTGAGCTAACCCTGCCGCCGCCTCCTGGGACCACGAGATCTCCCATAACACCCTCGTCTGTGGCATCCTAATCCTGAGAAATGACTTGACCAGGCCAGACCAGAGAGGGACCCAGATGTCATCACCACCTCCACTGGCTCCCACACAATCCCAAATACCTGCTGGGATTTGAGACGGTCGTTCCCACCCCCCACCCTTGTGTGTTGTTCCTTCCCACCTTACTTTGGTTCTTTCTGTCCCTCTTCTTTTTCCTTCTGTGTAATAAGAGTCTGGCTTAGTCAGCCAAGACGACGTGTGGCACCCCCGCAGTAAACCTGGGACCAGAGAAGCAAGTAAGAGCAATGCCCTGAACAGCCTGAGCCTGGTACAAGTTTGCCTGGGCTTGGAGTGGGAGATGAGGCCGTGGGCTGGACCTGTGGTTTTCCAGCAGCCAGGCTGTGAGTGCGAATCAGCACCAGAGCCAGAAGCCGCGTTTTGTCTCTTCGCTGGGCTTTTCTCTCCTCTTTCGCGGGTTTGTCTTTTAGGAAATGGGATCAGACTTTAACAGCAGTGACGGCTCCAGCCCATCTCAACTAAAGGTCATCCCCTCTGTACTGCCATCGGAGAGACTGCCAGATGGGGCTTCCTTTAAAAGCTCGCCAGCTAACGGGACAGGGAGCAAGGGGTGTCTTCACAATGACAGTTTTATTTAACACTTAGCATGTCGAATGCTTTACCCCTTTTCCCTTCTGTATCTTTAACAAGGGCTAAAGGCTGTTCACTGGGGTTTTTGCCAGTGGAGCAAGCAGCTGAGCTCTCCGGATACCAAACGGCGACCTTGTTTAACACTGTTTCATGTTGGACAGTGACTGGGTTATGTTACCTCCTTTGACTATCTGGGCCCATTTACTCCGTCGTACGTTCTCTCATTCCTCTACACGCAGCCCTGGGAGCTCACTGCCCAATTTCTCCATGGAGCCTGCTGACCAGGGGCCCTGCCGGAGTGCGGTTGGGGCTGCACACAGAGCCAAGACCACCTCTCGTGGCAGGCTGAAGGCAGCCCCTTCCCGTCACTCCCTGCTGGCCTGGGCTGCACTGGAAGGGGCAGGCTGGGCTGCCATGCCCCACTCCCAGCCCCTCCGGGACACCCTGCCCAGAGGTCCCTCCCTTTACTTAGTACAGGCCCCTCTCCCTGCTCTATGTGACTCGTGTCAATAACACCCCAGAGGGGCACATGCCTGGCCTGCTACCTGCCGGTATTAGCTGCTTGTGAACTGACAAACCCCCTTCTCCATAGCCCCTTCAGCCTGCATCCCATTCCTGTCACTCCTGGCTCCTCCCCCACTCCCCAGCCAGCATGCACCTATCGCTGCTCCCAGGTGCAGGCTTCCCAGAGGAGGTGGCACTAGCCAGGGGGGTTGCTTTGGGCAGGGACTGGGAGAGCCAGTGTGGGGGCTGCCCCAGAGGCCTGAACCCCCATGCCCTGGGGGACACCAGGCACACAGCCGGCTGGGCTGGCACACAGAGTCCAGTCAGACATGTCCCCGTCACTGAGTCACACTCACACCTGGCAGAAATCACACACACACACAGGTCTCAGTGTGGCCAGGAAGAATGGCTGGGACTGGGTCCCCACCCCCATCTCATCCGACTCTCCCCTGAGCCCTCCCAGGTGCTCCCCCCACGGAGGCTGTGCTGGGAAGACCCACTGACCAATGGGGCGCCGGCCTGGACTGCTGTGTGCCGCAGCACCACCACCACACGGTGCCACACAGGCCCCTTCCGACACGCATGGGCCCCAGGTGAGCCAGCAGGCAGAGCCCAGCCCAGCTGCAGCATCTTGGGGGATGTGGCCACAGACACACGCTTCCTCCTCGGTTGGCAAACGCCAGCAGGCTGAGGGGGAAACCCCAGGCCTGGGTTAATGCCACGGCTGAGCCGGGCTGGCTCCTTGCTGCCCAGTGCCCCGGCTCTTGGTGTTCCGCCCGCCCCACTCCCAGGCCTGCCCTCACCCTCAGGACTTGGGAACCCCCACTGGCACTCCCACTGGCCCCCCTCAGCCGCTCCCCAGCAGCGCCCCAGACACCGCAGGGGGAACAGGTGCAGGCGCCTGCCCCAGGCCCCACAGCTCCTCTCAGCAGACCCTTCGCTCAGCAGCCTGGTTCCTCCTGAGACTGTAACTCTGGCAGTAACTTGGGCACTTGCCTCTCGGGGCTGCAGGGAGAGGAAGCTGTTCCAGCCCAGCTCTACCCCATATTCCTAGCAGAAGTCCCAAGCACCTCACATAAACCCAAACCCATGGCTGTCGGCTGGAGCAATTATCCTGCCCCAGCAGGAATCTCTTGCATAGTGTTACTGCTGTATCCCAGCCCAGAGGCAGCCGCATTTCAGGGCTCAGTAGGCACAGATGCAGTAGGGTCTGTTAATGGCTGGAAAACAAGCCGATATTATGGAGGTGTCTGCACCCTGGAAACCATGAGCTGATCCACGGGAGCATCAGCCAGCCTGAGCAGACCGGGCAGATCCACCTGAGCAGGTGTGAGCCCAGGTAAGTGGTGCCTGAGCAGCACACACCTAGAATTACAGCTGGGCGGGAGTTTTTCCCCAGAAGAAGCTGATTTTCCTGGATCGGGTTGGGTTTGATGAGTTGACAAGGTTTTGAAATTGCTGAAACACCCTGTTCCTATGTTTTCAAATTGAAAAGTTCTGGTTTTCGGTTCAAACTGACGTCCCGTTTCGAAATGCAAGTTCATTCAGAATTTTTAAAGTGTTCAAAAAATGAAAAAGGTCAAACCCCTAGGAAACCATTTCCACTGACAGGAGCCACAGCCACGTTCGCAATGGGAACCTTTTCTGAAATCTCAAATTCTTCCGGGAGGGGAGAACCATTTCCTGCCCAGCTCCACCTGGAACCCTGGGCCTTTCCCTGTGCCGGGCAGGGCCAGCTCTCCCCAGTCCACATGCAGCCCCCGGGGGCCAGGCAGGTGGGGGACAAATGCTGCTGATTGCTGGATGGAGGAGCTGTTTGTTGACTGAGATTCCCCTTATCCGGCAGAGGGCTTTGGATAAGCTGAAACCTTTGCTTGCCAAACAAACAATTGCCCATCAACAGCTCCATTTATTGGCTCTATCTTGATCTTATCAGTTTGCTCCCTGATAGGGAGAGACATCCCTGAGACCCAGCCACAGTGCTCAAGGTTCAACGGAGAGGAGACAGCACCCCGGGCCCTGGGGGGGGGGGGGGGACACACACACAGAGGGCCCACCGCGATGACCTGCCGAGCACCCGCCTCTCCGAGCTGCGGGCTGGGCCACTCCGGTGTTTCACAGCAAGAACCAAACTGCTCTCCAGAGAAGCCACATCGTCCACAGAGAGGTGAGCACTGCCTGCAGCGTCAGCTCCTAGAATTCAGCTGCCCGCTGCTCAGTACATCGGATGGATTTGTCTCAGCAAAATGCTTGATATGGGGCCACCATAGTCACCTCCCCACCCTACCCAGGTCCCAACAGCTCTGCTGAGCCCCCAGCCCCGCTGCCGCCCGGGTGCCACGCTGGCATTCCCTCCCAACTCACCAGGATGTCCATGCTCTCCCGGCGGAAGGGCGGCTGGTCCGGTCTCTCCCCGGTGGGGGTGAAGAGGAAGGTGGAGGCGGAGCCTGAGGAGCGCATGATGGGCAGACTCAGCGATTTGAAGTCTTTCACGGCCTGCTCCACCTTGAGCTCATCGCCGGGTTTGGCTGTGAGGGAGCGCAGGGCAGGGGGTCAGCCGACGGGCACTAGCCTCAGCACCCAAGCGATTGCTATGGGTAGCAGTGCGAGCCCCGTGGCTCCTGGCCCAAGGGCAGCATGACTCACCCAGCGTCCGTGGGACGGGCCAGACGCGCACACCCTGGGCACACACCTCTGCAGACTGCAATGGCTGCCCAGTCTCAGCGGGTCCCCACCATGGCTGGGCGTGGCAGACACTCCTACCTCCCCAGGGCTGGACTAAGCCCAGGTCTGTCCCAGGTCCGCTAGCCTGAAGCCCAGCCCCGACCCAACTGCCCACGCCGCCGACAGGAGCCCGCCGGGCACAGCTCAGCCTCGCCCTCGCTGCCACACGCGCAGAGTGCACTGGAGGGGGGCTTCATCCTCTCCAGGTGCAGACGCTGCTGCACTGCTCAGATGGTGACCCCTGCTGGACACTGCAGGAATAACATGGGGCCCTGCCTTCCTCCCCTGGCTCCCCCAGGGGATATGGAATGGGACGTGCAGCTGGGAGTCACTCTGAGCGAGGCCTGGCCCCCTCCCCCAGGTGCAAACTCAGCCGCCCCCATCCTGCAGGCTGGAAAGGCTGCCCGCGCTGGCCCAAGGGAGCTCAGCACACTGAGTCCTTCTCTCGCTCCCTGGGCAGAGGCTGGATTTGAACCACGCCAGCCCTGACCTGGGCTGAATGGGCACTTGCGTCCCGAGAGGGGAAGGTCCCAAACCCCATTCCCTATGCAGCCCGGGACACCACGGACCTAGAGCCTAGAGGGCAGCAGCTGAACATCCCCCCAGAGCCACTTCCTGCAGCACGTGAGCTCTGCGCTGGGGGCATCCCCGCTCCCGCCGAGCCATGGGACACGCGGGGCCGGACGGGACGCACCTTTCACCCTCAGGTAGTGTCCCCCGAAGCGGTACGCTTCAAAGCTGAGTGACAGAGGCGTGTTGGACTGATCCAGATAAATATCCACCTTCGCCAGCTCGATGCCTTTCCTCTCGAACACCGGCAGCAGCACCTCCCTGGGGGGCAGAGAAAGAGACGTCGGCACAAGTTCCTCCCTGCCAGGGGCTGGGCTCAGGGAAGAGGGTCCCGCGCCCATTCGGAACAGGAACACTGGCCGGGCACACTGCGCTGGGCAGGAGCTCGGCGGGCAGCGCTGGGGACACGTACAGGGCTCCTGCTGCTGCCGCCACTTGCCACCCTGCTGGCCTGGGAGCTCCGTGACACTCTCCCCAAAGCAACCTGCCCGCGAGCAGGCTGGGCCAAACACGCTTAGCTGGTGGCTGGGGCGGGCACCGCTCCCGGCTCTGGCCAGCAGCTACTCGGCCTCGGCAGCTGGCGAGAGCCACGGACACATGGGAGGAGAAGCTGGCAGGGGACTCTGCAGGGTAACCCGTCACTGCTCCCGGGAGAGGGGGCTGTGGAGATGGCTCTGAGAGGTGACGCCCGTGGGGAACAGAAGGGGGCACAGAGCAGGTTTCTCCACAAGTGCGAGGCAGAGTCAAACACAGCAGCCTCCTGGGCACCCCAGACAGGCACAGTGGGTGACAAGTCCCTGATGCAGCTCCAGGACACCCCCCAGCAAAGCACCACGATGGGCAGTGCCGGTCCTGGGGCCCCTCCAGTGCTTCAGTGCAGGGTGAGCCAGCGGGCCCTGGCAGGGCACCTATGCGCTCACTAGTCAGCAGCATCCGCCTGAGCCCAGGGAAGCCAGGGCAAGGGGCCAAAGCGTGCAGGGAGCTTGGGAGAGGCGAGGAGCACTGGGAAGTGCCAAGGGCACATCAGCTCCTGGATCGGGGTTAGAGTCCACAGCTGACCATGCCGGGACTCCGGGTCTCCACACGGCACCGGGTGTCACACCCCAGAGCAGTGCCAGGGTCCCAGCCAGTGTCTAGCTAGGTGGCCACGACTCACCCCAGGGACTTCTTCTTCATGGCCGGGACGATCTCTGTTTCTATGTCCACGTTCAAGTCGAACTTCAGGGTGAAGCACTCTTTACTGGGGTCCTGCAGGAGGGGGCAGGAGTTAGCCCAGCCATTGCCCAAGCAGCCCTACACCCTGCAGGGTCGGCGCCCCCGACTTCCACCTGCCTGACCATCACCCCCCCGAATCTGGGCAACTCCCTGGCCCCCTCCCAAGTCCCGGCCTGTCTCCTTGCACAGCCGTGCCAGAGCTGGCTGGGAACCCAGCCCGGGGGGTCCCGCTCGCCCGCACCCTGCAGACGGCACGGTTGGCACAGGCCGAGCTACGCAGCGAGAGCCGCTCCAGCAGGAAGCCGGGGATGGATTCCTCGCTCGAATTGGGGATGGGGCCTGTCACTGGTAGGCTCCCCTGCTGCCCTTCAAACCAGAGCTGCTGAGCGCCGGAACCTCACGGCATCCCAAACGGCTCTGGGCAGCAGCCAAGCGAGGCCCCCCAGTCCCAGCACAAGACACTTGCTCCAAGGCTCTGGTTCCACGCCCAGAGCCAGCTGCCAGGGCCCCGTGAGGCACAAGCCAAGAGACGACGCTGGGCTCCTTACATCCGTGTGTCTGCGCCGGGCTTTCTTCTTGGGGAGCTTCAGCGCCGAGCTCTTCTTGTCCCTGCACGGCACAAACACATGGTTACAGGGATCGCCTGGCACACAGAGCCTGGGCCTGGCAAGAGCGATGGCGGTCAGAGAGCCTCATCCCCCACCACACGCCGGGACCCAGGTGCTGAGTGACCCCCTGCACAGAGCAAGCCAGTGCTCTACAGTGGCTTGTTCAGTCTTTCAGACAAGCCCCCGGCCCTGGAGTGGCATCGGCGCACCCAGAACATACTCTGCAGCCTTAGACCTTGTGTCTTGATTGTTAAGTGTAGCTGTCCTCTGGACCCCAGCGTCCCGCTGCCCCAGGAACCCGCTGCCCCGGCGTCCCGCTGCCCCAGGAACCCACTGCCCCGGCGTCCCGCTGCCCCATCTTGTCTGCTGCCAAGGTGATGGAAGCACCTCCCCAGCCCTTCACATGAACATACTCACCCTTTCCCATCCACTAGCCCTTCGTCCTCCTCCTCCACGTCGGAGGCAGGGCTGGTGCGTGGGGGGCATGAGCGCGTGGATACGTTCCGGGCCAGAATGGAACCTGCAACCAGGAAAGATGGACGAGTCACCCAGGAGACCGAGCCCCATCAGGCCCTGGGCACAGATCGAGGCTCAGCACCTCTGCCCAGCAGCTCGAGGGCCGGGAGACTGGGGCCTTTACAGCCACCTGGGGAAGCCTCTCCTGCTGCCTCCGATGGCAGCAAACCCCTCTGCCAACAGGCCCATCACTGCTCCCTCCGCTGACAGGCCGCGCCATCCATGAGGATCCGTTCCCCTGCCTGCCTGGTGCTCTGCCGGCGAGATGCCCTGCTGAGGGGCATCTGGCGTGGGGGGGCTCCAGAGGGGAGGATTTGGGAAGGCTGAGCCCTTGGGAACAGGCCCCCAGGATGAGAACAGGGCAAATCCCCACAGCGGGGAGGAGGAGCCCAAGGGACGGGGCTCGCTGAGGCGGGAGCACCATCGCTGGCAGTGCCCTGCAGGGGAGGAGGGTCATGTCCACCAGGCCCCAGCCCCCGCTGCCCCCAGCTCTCACCTTGGGGGGGCAGGTCGAAGCGGATGTGCCCGTCGAAGTGCATGGTGCCGTGGAACTTGCGGTCACAGGCCTCACACAGGTTCAAGGGATTGCTGTGGTTCAGCTGCTGGCACTCGGCGTGGTGACATACCTGCGAGAGGAGAGAGGCCATTGGGCAGTGCTCTGACCCGCTACAGAGCCAGCGGCCGGAGGTGCAGGGTGAGCCAGAGACCAGGCCGCCTGCTGGTTTGCTGGGGTCCCTTCACTGCTCCCCGCGGTAAAGGGAGCTGCAGTGCCAGCGGATCCAGCCACTGGGATTTCCCTGGCAGGCAGAGAGCCACCCCCTCCCCCGGCCTACCCCCCCATGCCACCCCCTTACGGGCCCAGGCCATGACTAGAAAGCCACTGTGCTCCAGCTACTCCCCATGCCCGGGGCAGGGCCGCCAGGCACAGCCCGGAAGCGGTTCTAGCCCACAGAGATGGTGCTGGGACAGCGCCCGGGCCTGGCAATGAGAGTGGAGCCCAAAGGCCCCTCTGACGGGCACCTACCATCACGCCAAGGGAAGGAGCATCACTTGCCTGGGGCCGGCCAGCCCTGGGTACTAGGAGCCACCCCTGGGAGAGCTCAGGTGATTTCCCGACAAAGCGGGGCAGGAAGCTGCAGTGAAGGGGGAGTGTGCAGGGAGAAAGCCAGCGCTAGCCGAGTCTCCTGGGAGCTAGGATAGATGCCAGCCAGGCAGGGCCTGGGAGTGGCCTGCCAAAGCAGGAAGGGTCCCGAGAGACACCTTGTTTGGGGTGGGCTGTTGGACGGACCTGGTTCTGGGATTTGGAGTCAGGTTTGGGGTTTATTTTATATTAATTAACCCAGCCCCCAAGGACGGGTATTTTTGACCACAAAAGCCTGGGTGAAGTTTTATTTGATGAGTCCAAGGGGGAAACTGAGGCCGGCTGCCTGTAGCATGGCCCGAGGGGACGCTCAGGAGGCCCATTTACACCAAGCTACAGGAGCTTTCTGAGCATCCACAATTAGTCGTCTCAGCTCTGTCTGCCCCTGCAGCCTACACTCACACGAAGCCTCCCCCAAGGGCAGTTCAGGTCGGGCTGGGCCAGGCCAGGCCAGGCCCCTGCAGCCAGCGTGGGAGATCAGGGCACAGGCCAGCAGGGACCACAGGCAAAGGGAACTTTTCTCTCCCGCACAGTCAGATCTCTCGAGCCGTTAGAAACTGCCCGGCCATACGGCACCAAGCAAAGGCCCGGGATGTCCCCAGGGCTCTGAGCCTGAGACAGGGAGACAGACAGAGGAGCAGGGTGTGGGCTGTCCCTCTGCAGAGGCTACTGCCTCCTGTAGCCACTGGGCTAGGAAGCGACGGTGCCTGGTTTCTGCTCTCGCTCAGTGCTGCAGCGTGAGACCAAGGAGCCATCCCCACGGCTGTGTCCCTGCTTGGAGACACTCCCCAGGGGAGGAGACATGTGATCAGAGGACGGGACTCGGGAAGCAGACGGACCCTTGCTGGGAAAAGATGTGCTGACCCACCGCACTCCTGTACTACCCATCTCACCCCTCGGCATAGACCCCAGCCCCCCTCCCTGCCTCCAGCTCAGCACACTCCTGCTACCCGCCCCACCATACTCACGGCCATGGCAGGAGAGCGCTCCCAGCTGCTGGGCCAGGCACCCCCCGCGCTGCCGGCCGGACTAAGCCCTAGATCACCAGCCTGGCTTTCCTGGGCCGAGAGCTATTGTATCCCAAACGCCCGGCGTGCAGAAGCAGCGGCCGGCTCGCTCTGGAAGCTGCTTTGTGTTTGAAATATCAGTGTCCCCATAGCAGGACTAAGGAAACAAGTGTCTGCAGCGAAACAATGCTTGCGAGCCGATCCATTTCCTCCGATTGTGCGCTGGGCCCGAGCCTCCTTTGGGTCACTACACGTCACAGCGAGAGGGGTTATTTTTAAACACAGCTGAGGCCTGAACATGCCACGCAGTCCGGGACCCTCGGGGCAAGCGCTTGCTTGTCTGTCAGCTTCGGAGCAGAGGTTTTCCCTGAGCTCCAGGAGTCACTGCAGACCCGCTCTGCTCCTGAGCCCAGCGGATGGCACCTAACATGCTTAACATGCACGTGGGCTCAGACCCAGAGACTCCTCTGTGCAAGGACCCTCCTGCCAGGTGCTGTCCAGCGGGCGCCCAGCCCTCCTTGGGGAAGCACCCCCTAGCCCCTAGTCAGGACTGGCCCAGCCCTACTGTCACCCCCATGACTCTCAGCCAGCCAGTAAAGCAGAAGGTTTATTTAGACGACAGGAATACAGTCCAAGACAGGTCTTGCAGGCACAGACAACAGGACACCCCTCAGTTAGGTCCATCTTGGGGTCCTCGGGCACCCCAGCCCCCTTGGGAGGTCAGAGCCCTCCCTGCCTCCCAGCCACCTCACCCGCCAGCTCTTGAGACTCTGCCTTCAGCGACCCCTCCCACAGCCTTTGTCAGTTTCCCGGGCAAAGGTGTCACCTCGCCTCTCACTCCTTCCTGGGTTCTCATGTTACATGCTCAGGTATTCTCCGTTGGTCAGTCTCCCATCCCCCGATGCAGACTATCCTAGCCAACGTCCCCTGTCAGCATTCAAAGACCACTTTAAGAACAGTCCCAGTTCGTCACACAGATCCACCCCAAGAGGCACTGCACCTCCAGAGAGCAACAGGTCTAAGGAGGGAGGTGGAGGGGGGTGCAGAGCTCTGCCCTGCACCCACTAGCCCACTGAGCCAGAGGCTGAGCCAGGGTGAGTGGTCCCGCAGCACATGGGCCTGGTTCCCGATGCCACACTGGGGCTCTGGGGTGGGGCATGTCTCCCCTCTCAGAGGCAGGCAGTGCAGCAGGATCTCTGAGCACAGCTCATTTAGCCCCTCCCAGCCACCACCGCACAGGAGCTCCCCGCCTTGGCAGCTCACATGACTGGTGAGAGACTATCCGAGCAGCTCTGCACGTCTCCTGAGACAAGCCAGTCAGATGGCCTCTGCGGCCAAGGGCCTCCTCCCTTGCAAGCACACCTGCACTGCTGGCTCCTATGCACAGCACCGCCTGTGCGGGGACTGGGAGCGCCTCTCCAGGATAACTCCAGCGACCACAGGCGCCCAAACCGGCATCTGCCTCGCTCCCAGATGCACCCACAGCCTGAAGTCAATGGCCCCAGAGTCAGACTGCGAGTCACTTAAACCTCAGCCCTGGTAGTTTCAGATAAAAAGACCAAGCTACACACTGTGGGGACCAACTCTGAGCCGTGGGCAGGTCTCCGATGCTAAAGCCAGAGAAAAGCAGCATCAGAGAAAGAGATCACAGAACAGGGGCCTGCAACCAAATGTTCAACACAAGTACGTGTTCCAGCTGAGTCCACCCGAAAGCCACACAGCTCAATGTAAACGTGTGCATCTAGAACACCGAATGCAGGCCAGACTTCCAGGATGGGGGACTCTATCCTGGGAAGCAGCGACTCTGAAAAGATTGGGGAGGAGGGATAATCAACTGAACATGAGCTCCCAGCATGAGGCTGTGGCCAAAAGAGCTAATGTGATCCTGGGCTGCAGAAACGGGAATCTCAAGTAGGAGGAGAGAGGTTATTTTACTCTGTACTTGGCACTGGTGCGACACTGCTGGAATAGTGAGTCCAGGTCTGGGACCCACAATTCAAGAAGGATGTTGATAAATTGGAGAGGGGTCAGAGAAAAGCTACCAGTCTGATTAGAGGATTACAAACCCTGTCTGGCAGTGACAGACTCAAGGAGCTCCAGCTATATCGCTTAACAAAGAGAGGGTTGAGGGGTGACTTTGATCACAGTCTATACCTATCTCCCGTGGGAAACAGACATTTGATAATGGGCTCTTCAATCTAGCAGAGAAGCTCTAGCACAGCCCAGTGGCTGGAGGTTAAAACTAGACACATTCAGACTGGAAATAAGGTGCAATTTTTTTACCAGTGAGAGCAATTAATCAGTGGAACAGCTTCCCAAGGGCCATGGTGGATTCCCCATCACTGGCCATTTTTAACTCAAGACTGGATGTTTTTCTAAATGATCTGCTCTAGGAATTGTGTTGGGGCAGGTCTCTGGCGGTGCTAGCCAGGAGGTCAGACTAGAGGGTCACAATGGTCCCTTCTGGCCTTGGAATCTAGGACATCTCAGAAGCATCGGAGCCTGGAGTTAGCCTCCTGGGCCACAAACGCAGCTCCCAGCAGGAGGTGCTGCATGCAAACACCCCTCTGGGATGGTCTGCACACGGTGTTTGCACCGATTTGGGGGAGGAAACCGTTAAGTTGATGCAAAAGCTGTGTGTAGACCAGGCCTTGGTCCCTAGGAGACGGGCTGGAAAGGAAGTAAGCTAGGCCAGCGCTAGTCAGTCAACGGCATGCAATACAGAGCTTAGGTGCAAGAAGAGCTCCCACTCCGGGTCCCTACATATTCAAAGCAATAAGGGTTTGGCAGCTCTTCCTTATTGAACTGATCTGTGCTTATGCTGAAACTTTGCAAAGGACTTGTCTCAGGAGCTCATCACATGCTGTCTGGTGCGGGGCTGGGTTGTGAGCACATCAGCACAATGGAAACCACAAGCACAGAGGCCCAGCTGGGCTGCTGATCCAGTGGCTGCATTTTATACTTCAGAATGTAACGTTTCATTCATTAAAAATGCAGACTCAAGCCCTCACAGTTGTGTAGAAAACCTTCAAAATGTGAACTGAATGCAAACTGACCCAGCCATATCTGCAGAAAGCCTGCTATGAGAACTGCCTGTTTGCCTCCGTGTTCACTCTGAAGACTAATGATGGCTATTCTAATGTCAACATTGTTAACTCTTTCTCTGCTGATTGAAGCAAGAAAGGACAATCACTGTAAGATCTACACAGTGAAGATCTACATGATTTTGGCATCATGAATGGGTGGAGCTTGGATAGTGGGCAGAGCCTGGGAAAGTACCACCATTTACCTTATTCCTAATCTGATGCCAGGGTCACTGTCTTGTGAATGTGCACACCAGGGCCCCTCTGGAGTTACCTCCCCATACACACAGTGTTACACCGGGGGCTGATGCACACACCCATACACACACAGCTCACCTGGAGGTCACCTGGTGATACACACAGGGATTTATACACACACACACACACACACACAC